AGGTTTCTTATTCCTACATCTCTGGAAACATCAGATTTCCTCTTGCCTTTCCTAGAAATGTTTTGTAAGAGATGGAATAAACAGAGAGAGAGGAAGAGAAAAATGTCATCAAAATGGGAAAACTTGGCTTTGGAAGCTGATTGGTAGCAAAGCCCTTTGTTACCCTTAGCAGCTATAGTTTTCCACATCCCCATCACGGTTTCACGTGCACAAGAATTGCCATCTTTTATTGGAAACACTCCCCTGGTTCACTGGCAACCACATGCACCCTTCTGCTTGTAAAACCATCCCATCTGGTCCCTGGATCTCCTGCAGTTGGCAGCTGGCAGGGCGACGGAGAAGCCCTTACAATGGAGCCTGTTCTGGTTGCCAGATGGGAAATCATCTTGCCAGCCATCCTGTGTCTTGCAGAAGCAGGTAGGACACTTTCCTAATTGGGGTATAATTCCTTGCTAATTTTCTTCTCAAAGGAAGCATCAAGTAATTAGGGTGATTTTTTTCCATGGTAACTGTTTGTTCAACTTCTTCCAAAGGTTGTCCATAAAGTCACCCTGATAGACCTAGAGAGGTGTTCTCTTGGGCAATAATAATAATATTATAATAATATGCTTTTTATTTATAGTTTTTGCACATTAACAGGGGTCCTGCCTCCCTAATCCTTGCAAAAGTGGATGGCCTGCTATACAATTGCTTATCACTTTTCCAGCACCCATAGGTCCCGTGATCACAGAGGGAAGAACTGAAGAATTGAAGTCAACCTTCCCCATCAGCATCAGCGGTGAGACGGCAGCTATGAAAACAAACCCTCCACCATGCATAATGGACACTAATGTGACTTATACTGTAACTGCCATCTCTAAAGGATACAAAATCTCATTTGCTGCAACAGTGATTGTTTCAGATAAGACCGTACTCAGTTCTGGAGGATGTGGCACTATTAGCCTTCAAATCCCTTTGCCCATCGTTGGAGCCCCTAACACAACTATTCTTGATACAACCACACAAGGGACTATTTCAGGAGGGTCTTTTGTCCTTAATACAACCAGCCTTGGTGCCTCCTCCTCTCCTTTTGAAGATACCACTAAAAATGCTCCCCCAAATATTATCAACACCGTTTCTGCAAAGACTCCTTCCATATTAGACACAACAATGGTGGCTCATAAAACTACTACAGCCCAAAATGGAGCTTTGACTATGGATATGTTTGATTTTCCCAAGCAACCCCTCTCTGATCAGGAAGATGTTAGTACACAACAAATGCTAGGAACAGAAAGTCCTGTTGGTACAATTACTGGGAAAACAAGCTTCTCAGGCCAGGAAGATACCACCATCACTCCCACACTTAGAGAGCCTTCATCCGATCCTCAAGGTAAGGAGAAAGAAAATGTATGATTTTCTCATTCTGAGTAGAACTTCACTTTACTTGTGAAAATATGTTGATTTTGTATTGTCAAAGGCTTTCATGGTCTGAATCACTGGGTTGTTGAAGTTTTTTCGGGCTATATGGCCATGTTCTAGAAGCATTCTCTCCTGACATTTCACCTGCATCTGTGGCAGGCAT